AATAAACATTTAATTTTCTGTTTTTTTTTTTTTTTTTTTTTTTTTTTTTTTTTAATTTTCGGTAGTAAATTTTACGATATGTAGATAGATGACACGAGAACATTTTGCTCAAATTATTCAATACTTTTGCAGACAAGTGGCGCCATCTAGTGTTACTCATTTACAATGCAGTAGACTCTTGTATATTTAATTGTTGTTGTAACTAATGTTGTTCTGACGAACGAGTTTTTATTTGTGATATTTCATCATTTAATTAGTGGCAGCAGTCTTTATCAGACTAATAACTGAGAAAATTACAAGGAGAGCCTGGGCAAAGAACAATACATATTCTTTGGCCTGGGTTAGACATTTTGCCGCAAGGTACAATCACTGAAGGTCCTAAAATCTGAAGTCCGATGCCTCACTAAATTTAAATAATCTTTCCTTCTTTACTGCCCAGTACTTCTTCTAAAGTCCTTTTCTTTCCAATACTCAATGCCTTTTCTTTCTACTGCCCAATAACTTCTAACAAAAAATTGCCATCTCTAATTTTGCTCCTTGGTGCATTTCTAAATTCTAAAATTCTTGCGGTCGGATACGACAGCACCTGTTTCATTGCCTCTGGTAAGGGGTTACCCCAAAAATGTTGCAGCAGAAGAGGGGGGGGAGGGGTAATCATTCACAACTCATAACATTTTAATTCATATTACTCTTAATAAAAGTTGTAAATCAATACAAGATACGAGAAAGAACAACATACCCTTAAGTAATAGTTAAGAGCTAAAAAAATTACTTATTTAAAATTGAAATGACTCCCATTTCACCATAGAAAAAAAATCTTGTGATGCTATACTGTCTCATATAGTAATTTCATATCCCACAGCTTCATCATGTATGCTACAGAGAAACAAAATGGGTACTGTCAATTTACCTTACTTCCATTGGCCTTTAGTCGTTTACTGGGAATGATCTTTTTAACTTTTTCTACGTCTTCTGATTCATCTTTATTTTCATCTTCGTTCTCTTTCTTTAGTGCAACTATTTCACCATCTCCAAAAAGTTCACAGTTTTCATCCTGCCGTATCCATTCTCCAAGATCACCATCAATAACGTCTTGGCAACATAAAATCTTCCTCAATAAATCCACTTTGTCTGCTCGGTTTTCTCGAAGCTCGTTTCCTAAATGATCCAAAACTTTCTCCAACAACTCATTCTCTAGCAACAAAGTGGCTTATATGTTCGATTCTGTCTCTGTATCAGATATCCACACCACTAACATACATGTCTGTTGGTGCTTCTACTTTTAGAGACATCTACTCAACTGCCCTCAGTGTTACTAGAACTTTTAGAGAGTAAGGAGATGTTTGGCAGAGAGAGATGAATATTTTATATGTAATTAAACTATAAGTCCTGTAAAAAATCGTAACTATTGTATAGTAAATACAATTTAACTTAACAAATCATTTTAGTATGACTTGTCCTTCCTTGTTTTAGATACAAGATACTAAATCACACCGGCATCCTGGAAGAAGAAGACAGGTGAGTAATTTCATCTAATTATTGAAATATTGAAAAAAACTTCAAGATCTATTTTTTTTTTTTTTTAGTTCATCATCCATCGTGTCACACATTCCTCCATGATTAGGACAACACGTCAAAGAAGTTTATGTCTGTATCTCTTAGTCAATGCTTCACAAATGCAACGGTCCTTTGATATATTGAAGTCAGGTTTGATAGAGAAACATGCCTCTAATGCCTTCGTTTAGGAACTGTAAAGCATCAGAATGTGATTTGGAATTGTAAAAAATGAAATGGGCTTTCCTTGTCAGATCTTTCTCTTTTAAAAGCTTTTATACATCAGAATTAAACTGCTGATATAACCAGCCCTTAAAAATATCTTCATTCATCCACGCATTTGGCAGATTCCTATGCCTGACCAACGATATAAGATGGCAATTGCATTCGTGTACGTTTTTATGTTTTTAAACGTTCGGATATTTTCCCATTTATTTATGAACTCTAGTTTTAGCTTCTGGATACCTGTTGCATTGTTGCATCTCAAGACTTAAAATCTCTCCATACTACTTTTATGATCTGAGGATAGGTTTTCTTTCGTGGGTGCGAATGTTTTCGTAGGCAGCGTTCGAAAATTTTAACCACATTCATCACAGTTGTAAATTTGATCTCCAGATAGACCCTCCAATTCAGATATTCTATAGAAACTATTTAGTTAGCCTGTTTTCAAGAATTAGTATCACAAATGGAAAGGGACAAAAATTGCAAATATAAAATACCGTAACAAATTTTTGAACAGAAAAGCGAAACTTGCCGGCATTCATATGCATAAATATGTACTGTAATTACAATAATACAGTACTTAAAGTGTACGTATATTATTTACATTGTATAGGCGATGCTAAAAATCATTTCAGTCTAGCCTGCAATAGAACCCACATTACTTCAAAGATATTATTCTCCTCAAAAGGCAGAAATAATTTAGAAACTCCCCCTCCCACAGTTAACTTGACAGCTGACGTGCTATTATGCTTCAAGCTATTACATACAGCTAGTTAACGTTTATTTTATACCCAGACAACCACAGCCCACAGGCAGAGTTAGCAGGTCAATCGAACATTTATTCCAGTGTAAAAATGCAATAAACATTTACAGATTCAGCCCCGCGTATATAATGTAAAACTGGAAAGTTTAAGCAGCGAAATTTTACAATTTTGAAGCTCAAAATGTTATAGTTTTGAATGCAATTATAGGCGTATGTAACTGTGGTGCTTTATGGTCCACACTGTTTGATGATTGCTTGGTGTAGACCTTCAGAATCTGGTATACCTGTAGGAAAACCTTATCCAGGATATATCAGACAGTAGCCATTGCTCTAAAAAATTCTGCTGCTGAGAAGGTGATTGTTCCGTAGACTTTATTACGAGCTATTTGTAAAGTAATTGACTGTACCATTGCAGAAAGTATTACAAGAGGATCTTTTGGCACCTAATACAGTTCTTTCTTTAATTGCTTTTTCTCTTTTAAAGATAATGTATCTTTTTAATTGTTCTTCTGTAACATTGTAGCGGCCCAGTTATTGCATGGGAAATAATTATTTTTTTATTTCAAGTATTTTATAGTTTTTATGTGTTTAATTATTTTATGTTAATGTGTCCCTGGATAGCTTGAAACCAGCGTATATTTTAGCTGAGGAAAATTCCCAGTTAACACAACCTGTCAACAGTAACTTGCAGAGAGGACTTAAACACATTCTTGCACAGGCAGAACTATACTTTTACCTGTTAGATTCAAGGACTGTAAATTATTCTGATAGAGTCAGCACTGCAATTTCTATTACCTATTTCTAAAACTACTACCTATTTCTCCATCTTCCGAACGTAACTTAGTTATTGGTGGGGCAGTAGTATAGTGGCCCAGTTATTGCATGAGAAATAATTATTTTTTATTTCAAGTATTTTATATTTTTTCATATGTTTAATTATTTTATAAAATTAACTTTAATATTTTGTTAATATTTATATTTATATTTCTTTATGCTGAATGGCAACTAGTTCTGATTCATGATTGCTTAATTTTGGTTTCCAAACGTTGCTATTCTAGTAGCGTCGAATTTCGATAGCTGGAAAATGAAAAGCAATAAACTTAGCTATTTGTTCATAATTCATGCTGTTCCCTATAATAATTTAGTTTGAACATTAGTAGCCAAGGCTACTACAACGTAACATGATTGAAAACGTTTGGAAGTACTTGTATTCTTTTTCTTTTCTGTCTGATTGCTAGTGAGGCTTTCCGCCAGTTGCAGTGAGGATTGATTTCTTATTTCTTTTGATTTTTATACGTTCGTTTTCAGCCGTTCTTTAATGGTATCCATTAATTTATCAGTAGCATTATCCATATCCTCCAGAGTTATTATGGAGTTAATTTTATCTTGGATATATATTGGTTTATTGAAGAGATAAGCTCTATAACATAAAGAGCGACGTATTTATCTTTCAACTGAGTTTAATTTGGTGTTTCAAATGCTCGTGAAATGTTATTGAATGTATATATGATACTATATTTCTTTAATGTAAAATACTACTTGACTAGATCGTAAAATTTAGTTTTTATATCCAGTGCTAGATTTACATATAAGCTACGGAAGCTTAGAGCCTCCATTTTCTCTAGGAACTTCCCAAAATGTCCTTTATCCCATGTAAAAAAATCCCTTAATAAAAGACCCCATTTCTTGATTAGCTTAGCTGGATTGTCTTCGTCCCTGTCCATAACTGCCGCAAGCTCACGTAAGTTAAAAAGTTTTACAAAATGAAGTTTGATCTGATAAGTGCTGCCATCTACTGCAGTGTAATGAATCTATTTCAATGCAGTGGAACGGATGATTCGTTCCAAATTGAATCTCAAATTTGAAAACAAGAACAAACACGAAGCAATATTTGTAAACGACGTTTTGATCCTGTTGTGAATTCTGAATTTGGAAGAATTTTCAGTCAGATAAAAAATTGGTTCCCTAACAAATTTTTCAGTTCAGAGAGGAGAGTAGAAAATTTGTGGAAAGGAAGAAATTTAACATGTTTTCACTTTTTCGCGAAACAAAAAATATATTGTGTTCCGTAAACTTTATATTGACAATTTAAATTGTTCTCTTTCATAATAAAGTTTTTCTGACACACCACAATGATTTGGAAATGATGGGAAATATTACGATACATGTGGTGTAGAATAACACGAGCCTTTTATTATTATTATTATTACTCTGCCTTTGCTTTTATTATTGTCACAAATATAAACATGTTCAGAATTGAGAAATTTTTTAGCAAAATGTTTTCCTTGAAAACACGCTCATACTTCATAATTATTTTACTATTCTCACTACATTTTTAACACGATTACGTTAACAACTAAACAAGAGCAATAATTCCAGTAAAAATATACTGAAAGATATAGCGCAATTCGGTCATTTAATTTAGTCAAAGAATATGAGGCTTAATCTCCACTTCGAAAGATTGCCTTCATGGAGTATTCTCTGAGGGCTGGCTTATATTTATATACACACGAAGAAAACTTTCAATGCATACTTCGAGTACATTCGCAGTCAAATGAACTACTAATATTTCTTCTGAACTTCGCCACTAACGGACATTCTATTGAATCAGTATCTTTCGTATTGGAGGAGTATCTTGAAGAACCTAATTAAACTATGGCTCAAGATTTTACGAAGAACGTTTTGAATCAATACCTCAGATACGTGAATAATTTGTCGTCGCAAAGCAAGTCATTACAAACTGGTGAAGGTAGGTGTAAAATAAGCTATTTTAAAACGAGTGTTGGAAGATGACGACCCAATGAAAATATTTCATATTAACTTACTCAGGGAAATAGTACCAGGTATGAAGAAAAAGGAATTAAATTTATATCTACACTTTAGATAATTTTATAAAATTACTTCATATTGTTATTAAAGAACTCAACATTAAATCTGTTAAATCAACATAAGTTCAACAAATAAGTAAAGGGAAAATATCAAGCCTGATTCATTGTAGGCATCTCTGAAGCTTACATTTTTAGTTATTTGATTTATATAGAGGTATTTTATCTATTTCATATGCTGAGTACATAAAAATCTTTTATTTAATATACTGATTGCATTCATATGCCATGCTCTATCATAGCTACTTTTTCTTTTTTTTTAATCCAAAGGAGCAATTTGCTCAGGAAGACTATTAATTTCGTTTTGGCATTTTGTGTTGATTAACTACAAGCGCTGTTTCACTTTTCAAATTGTTGCCACCAAATATTATCCCCCTGTACTATATTTAAAGAAATTAAATAACGAAGAATCTGCATGAATGTGTGTATGTTTCTCGCATTGTAATAAAACAAAGGTATCTATAGCCATCCAATTTTGAATAACGTAAACCTCCTGCGAATATGGGCATGTGGAAGACCAAATTTGAAATTTGGAACTTGTTTTATTATCGACTTCATATTTTCTAAAACTTTAACGAATTTTTGATTAAAAAACTCAAGGATTTCAAAGCGAACAATGGCAACGTTGTACAGAAAAAACATTTTTATCTCCAGCGCGCGAAACTGTGTATTGGAAATTCTAAAGATATGCTCATTTTAAAATTATTTTGCGACATTGCTCTTGAACTGAATTTTATGGTTTACGTGTGAAGAACATGATATCTAATAAATAAAGGTAACACACAAAATGTTAAAAAAACGCCTTTTTGGACGTAATAATCTGAAACCTTTTTTTTTTTTTTTTTTTTTAATTAGGAAATTTATAGCAAGTGGCAGTGTAAAAACAATCTGGATCTGACGTTTCATTAAATTTTGTGAAATAATTCATTTATTTCCTACTGATGAAATAAGAAACTGAGGGCGGAATCACATCTTATTAGCCTTACCTTCTTATTCAAGAGATTTGTTTTGTGTTCAAAATTTAATTTAATGTGCAATGGATATAAAATTTATAATTTATTCTATTTATTTGTAACCAAAGAGAATTAATCTAATAGTTTAACATCTTAAACATCACATTAATACTCTGAGAATCAAGAAACCTATTTTATCATAGTAAAGGGGCATCTTATTGAAAACAGTCTATTTACACTGAATTGTAGGAGCCGTTTTATATCGATGCTGCATTCAAAAAATGATTCTTTATTTTAGTAAATAAAAATAAAAATAATTCTGCTTTTCCGAATGAACTATAAGCTATCTGTTCTACGAATTTCAGTATTAAAAGAGCCTTAATAACTTTATGTGATGGGTATCAGTGAATATCTGCTAATATACACATATTGCATCATGTAAACTGATACATATTTTAATCCTCATAAAAACTGCGTTTCATAAACAAATGTCATTTCTTCGAAAAAATTTTTATTCTCCGAATCAATCTATGTTTTACAACAGAAATAATTTATAATAACGCAATTTTTCCAGTTCTTTTTTAAATGTTGTTGGATTTGGAAATATTTTATTCAGTTAATGTTATTTTAATCGCGAAATTAAAGTTTCGTTTTCCATTGAAATCTGACATTCTGTGTTTTCAAATACAGACTAAATCAGACGGATAAAATTACAGGATATCAATTAAATTGTGTAATTGATTTGATTTTTAACCAATAGGCAACGGCGCGTTTTAGAAGAAACAGAAATAAATGAATATTAAATTAAGATTAATAAAGGGATATTAAGTTTTGTGCTACTGAGGAAATAGAACTATTCATCATTGGTGAAACGAATAATAATAATAGAATTTAGCTTTGGGTGAAAATTTAGATAAATTTCAGTTATTTAACTTCCACTGGTGTATTAAAGCATGTTTTATCACAGTGACAATAGAAATGTGAATTTCTCCAACGTCATTTAACCTCGCAGACGATATAAAAGGATAAATCAAGCCCGAATAAGAATATATCCAGTAATGATAACAACAATTAGAATCATTAAACCACACATCATAATAGATAAAAGAGATAAAGCATCTTTATACAAATATAACTATTTCAACACTAAGAAATTAAATAGTACTTCTCAGAATTATGGAATTCCCAAAACTTTTGCAGAAAATAAAATTTATATAAATAAATGAAAAATCCAAAACCATTCAGATTTTATATTACGTGCAAAGGGGCGTTTTTTTAACGTTTTGTTTATTACCTTTATTTATTAAATAGTATGTTCTTCACACTTAAACCATAAAATTCAATTCAAGAACACTCTCACAAAATAATTTTAAAAAAACATATCTTTAGAGTTTCTGATACACACTCTCGCGTTCTGGCGATAATTTTTTTTTTTTTTTTCGTACAGTGCTGCCATTGATTGCTGTAATACAGGGCGATAATATTTGGTGGTAACAGTTTGAAAAGTGATACAGCCTTTTAAAGTTTTCAATGCAAAATGTCAAAAGAAAATACAATTAGCCCTTTTGAGCTAACGCCCTTTCGAGTAATTATATGATACTATAGTATAACCTGGATTATTCAGTCAGGAAGAAATTTATTCGCACTAAAATTATTGTCCTTATTGTTGTTATGAACTTAATTATTATTAATAATATTAATATTGTTGCATGCATACTGGTTCGCAATAGATCGAATGCCCACAGGTGTTATGATAGGTTGGTAAAATTTATTTTATCAAAAGAAACATTTCAGAGTTCTGGAATTTCCCACAGAAATACTTATAGAGTTAGTTGTTCACAGTATCACAGAGTGCAATTTGTAGTTACACTTCAAATTATTAAGAAAGTTAAACAAACGCAGTGCAAAGTCCATCTAAGTCAAACCGGGATAGTACTCGGAACTCACACTGAGATCACAGCTAACAATAAACAACTGAAAGCAGATGCTCTCACCGGCCTTTCAAAATTACTGGAAGGCAGATTTCAAAATTACTGGCTTACAACTAATATAGTTATAAGGTATTTCTCCCGTCTTCTTAACATGCTTTCGTGGTGTAGTCGTCAGCACGCTCGACGCGTATTCAAGAGATCCATGGTTCGAGTCCTTGCGAGGGCATTGCTCATTCTTCATCTCTCCTGCTTTCACAAAATACCTAATGTCTCTACAGTGGTGTCCGAACTAAAAGGTGGTGATTGATGATTCTTCACCACCAGGATTTGGCGATTGGGTCCCCTAAACCTCAGTCACCTTATAAAAGGGGGAAGTATATAAAGTATTTCTCCCGCCTTCTTAGCATGCCTTCGTGGTGTACTTCGTGATCAGCACACTCGATGCGTATTCGAGAGTTCCGTGGTTCGAGTCCCGACGAGAGCACTGCTCATTTTTCATCTCTCCTGCTTTCAAAAAATACCTAATGTGATCAATTACATATAATACATAGTGATACATAGTGATCAATTACATATAATCAATTATACCTACTGCGGCGATACTGGGTTCAGACCCAAATGTCGCCGTATGGTCGCCAACTCTGGCGACTTTTTGCGACAAAAATTAGTTTCTAAAACAGCTGCCAGCTTGGCGATATCTCGCCAAACTGCCGAAATAACCATTTACTCAATTTAAACAGACTTAACCCTGTGTTCTTACTTTTCCAACATAACTTGTCTCTCTCGATTTTTCATATTACATTACACAGAAAAATATACAACTATTTCACATATAATTGCACTAAAATCTTCTATATATATATAATATCATCAGCATTATCCTTGTTAAAATTATCATCATCGTCATTATCGTTAATTTTATGAATTATTATTAAGTAATTTCTATTATGAGTGTTTCATTCAATACATTATTTTTAAATAAATTAACAGTTTTCAGAGCAGTGAACGTGATTATTACTTGCCGACCATATCTGACCATGGCACTAACTAGATTTCTTCATTAAGCAATTACTGAAACTTTACATTTTATATAGCACTATTTCTTTAATAATCACCACAATTTTCTCTATTATATGCTTTTTATATAAGGTATGGTGTAGCATAACAAACCTGTCTTTACATTCTATTGAAATATTTTTTCTTTTGTATGCATAAAAAAGTCAAACTACTGCCGATTTTAGTTTGCAGCAATTATGTTTGACTTTTATTGCTCAGAATTCGTAAGAAAATGCTTTTTTTTTGGGGGGGGGTCAACGTATCGATTTTAATAATCTTTATAGACGTCTTTAGCAATTTTGTATAATTCGATCACCATTTAAACCCATCTGCATCCAATAAACGAAAACTATATATTTCAAGATGAGAAGGCATTGAAAGAGAAGGCATTTTTTTAAATTCCTACTATTTCACACTCTCTCTATATATTGTTCAAATTTTCAGTCGTTGTAAAATACTTTTTATTCATCCACTCAAGTTCAAATACGTTTTTTTAACTTGTAGTGGATGACACTTAAGGTTAATACAGTTTTTTTTTTCACAAATTAAAAAAATTTTAACTTAAATTATTTCTTTTTTTTTTTTTTTTTTTTTTTTTTTTTTTTTTTTTTTTTTTTTTTTTTTTAATATTTCTTTGTTGACCTAAGTAGGAGTTGACTTATGTTTTTTATATTATTTGTTTTAACGTATAATTAGGCTAACCAGGTTTCTTTTGATGTTAATTCGTAACTAAAGAATTTAGTTTTAATGATTTAAAAAATTATTTCGTTTAGTGCATAATATAAATAATTTTAAAAAATTAACGAAAACATTTTGCGCTTAAAAGTTAAAGGTGACGTGCAGACTTTTACTCTTATTTAACAAAGAAAAGATTTCTTTATTCAAGATTAACGACACATCCTTTTCCTAGGATCGTTTGAGAGT